CAGCACAGAATGTAAGTGCCATGGCATAACTAGCGATCACGACACGCCAGCCATAGCATGTGCCTGTCATACGCATCCACCATTGTCTGGTGGCAGTAGACAAGCACGCGATGAGCTGCTGTAAAGGAGATGGGATGTCGATGCCAGATCTCAAGCACTTTCAGACACTAGTTCAACCCATAGCAGTAGCATGACTACCAACAACTTGAAGCCAGGAAGGCCCGGGATTACAATGTTTCGAGTTCTCAGTGGTGCAGGGAAGAAGCTGCAGAAAGCGATTTGGCTACGACGGAGCTTCCATCTTGCTGCCGATCAGCACAAATTGCCGCGTTTCACGACAGGGTATCACTGTTGTCGAACCGTAGCCCTTCACCAGTGGCCTCGCCGATTCACATCAGCAACCACCTACCGGCCCGGCAAGGCATTTGCGACTGTGTGCATATGTGGGTAGTCAAAACTAGGGTCCCTTTTGGGGTCCCGGATGCAGTACGGCACCCTTGTAAAAAAAGGACCCTAAGAGGGACCCGAATTTAGAGAGCTACCCATATGGCATGCCTATCGACTCGCAGATTTGACGCTCGGTAAAGCTCCCTTGGTTTGGTCTTCGTGGCATCGAACTCATTGTGGCAGAAGAGAGCCTGGAGCGAAGTGTGTGGCATGGCCTGCAAGATGGATTGCATCAGTGTGCCAGAAGATATAGCAGATATAGGTTGAAAACAGCAGTAGTGGCAGTATCGATTGCACAAACTGCACAGCAGCCAGTCTTCCCGGCGGGGTCTTTGTCAGCTACTGTGCTCTTGTAGCCCGTATGGCTGCTGTGGCTACATGGCTCACTTCGGACGGGCCAGCGCCGCAAAGTAGGGCTTCAGCCGCAGAAGCATGCAGACTAAGCTGGCATTCCAATCTGAACTGTGTGCACGTGCTTCATGCAGCAGAGGCCATGGACAGCGTAGGCAAAGCCCATAGAATCCCAGCAGGTATAATTCAGGGGAAAGCGACCTGTTTTTGACGCAGAGTCTGCGGCAGTTGCCGGCGCAAGTCTTGGGATGATGCTGGACACCTCATTGTCAACCTCGTCGTTCCACTGAGTGCCGAACGTCCAGCAGCAGCCGGATATGCTTGCGGGCGCCCCAAACTCCCGAAACAAACCCAAAGATCCGTAGCTGGATCAGTCGATCCAGCCAGTGCTAAAGTAAGTGGCGGTGCCAACGTGGCGCCGCCAGACAACCCGCGGAACCTACGCCACTTGGCTCGCCAACAAGAGCAGTGAGACAGGGGCTTAGGGTTCAGGGCTACGAGAAGTCAGACCCAGAGCAGCAAACTCTGAACAACCAGCGGGGATCGAGGATCTGCCGACCCAACTTGTCGTGGCCGGGCAACTCTTAGAGCCAAGTTGGATCGCTTTAGCTTCCTACACGTACATTACGGGATGTTGCTGGTAGATCTGTGTAGTTGGCTCTCCCCACCAGGGCATGCGCAATACAAGCAGCGTTTTGCAGAAAGTGCTGCTTAATTTAGTGTCGGTCTGGCCGAACCGGCAGCCACAGTTTATGAGCCGAGACCAGAGACAAAGATCAGACGAGATATCCCCAGCCCTTCTCCCGACGGGCTTCCATCGAACATGCTGAAGCATTTTCATCTGGCCGCAACTTGCATGCATGCCTAGCAGGCCCTAGCGCAGAGACAGAGAAGCCACCTGAACACCTCTCGGCAGGTCATGTAGTACTTTCTGAACAAATTCGTGTTGTGAGGTTGCGCAGGAGAGGTGCTAATTGGCACACGCCGGGCTGGAGATTAGGCATTCTATGCACAATTCACAGGCACAGGTGTCCTTGCCATCGTGCGAGACGGCCAGCAGTACGAAGACAGCAATCTGAAATACCAAGGACCCATTACTAACTGCATTGTGGGTACGCAGTGAAGACAGCGCGCGCCTGCAGATACAGATGCGCGAAAAGCTTGTCCGACGGATGCATTTGCAACTGCGATGACAGTCTACACGTGATGGCTGAAAGCATTCTCTTCAGACATTTCGTTGTTGAGCCGCACCCGGCACTGCTTGCAAAGCCACTACCAAATTTTGGACGGAGCTCTTGGGTTGAAAAAGTTCGGATGCTCCGTGCTTCGGCGAGCACGGTCTGACCCTCCAATCACAGACAAGCCGAAGGCCAAAAGCAAGGTGGCTGTTCCCCATCCTTCTATCGGCCGTGGCGGGTGTGAGGATTGCAACTGAGGCCCTTCACTTTCCTTCACTAGCCGTGCTGGTCACATGACAATAACCGGGACAGGAACGGTCCCGTGTGTTCTGGTGGGGCAAAAGTTCCTGAATTAGTTGCTGAACGCCGCAACACACCAAGGAGACATGCAGCTGGCATGGGCGGCATAGTACAGTATCCTTTATAAGAGAGCCCCAACTCACCCAATAGTACAGAGCACCAGCGGTAGCTGACATCCTGACTTTCGCCGCGGCATCTGGGATTCATTCTTGTTGTGAGGCTGCCCCAGCAGGGTGTTTCTTGAAGCGGGAGCTGTGTGGCATCGGCTCCTTTGCTGGCTGATGCTTGACACCTCCTGTTTGAGCTACCAGCCAAACTGAGCGATGGCGTTATTTCTGTTGCGGAAGTCTTGCCATTTGTGCTACGACATTTTGTCGATAGGCGCGTTGACAAAACAGCCAGAGCAGCACACAAAAGCGCAAGATTGCATGAGCCTGTATGGAAAGGCAACCATCACGTTGACGCCACGATGAACATCTGCCCGATGGAATGCAGCCGGAGCCCTTGTGCAGTCGAAACAAAGTCATGTTTGCCCCAAATTTGAGGCACGCGGCCTCAGCGGCGATTGAATTGAGGACATGATGTGAGCCACCACCACAGGCCCATCGGCACGCAGGGTTGATGCAAAGCTGCAGACGATTTTCGAAGCACAGGTCATAGGCACAGGTGCTCTCCCGGCATGAAGTCGACAACCTGTCATGCTAAGGAGCTATCATAGCACAGTAGCGGCAGCACGAACTTGCACATGGAAATGCACCCAAGTTTTGTCCAACGCGTGCACCTGCAACTTTGAAGAGGATTGCTGAAGTCAGTCCCTGCAGACACTTCGTGATGGAAACCCTGCAGCGTGCGTATGCGCCAATGGCACAACGATAGGCAGAGGCTGCGACATTACGTCTTAAAAGTTTTGCTTCAGCGCACACACAGAGTCGCTGCACAGTTCGAAGAGTTGATGCCCGCTGAATCGCAGGCACCATCTATTGCATCACGGAGCTTTCATGGCAGCGTGAGTGAGCATTGAAGACTCCGCGAGTTTGAAGACACAGTTGCACCAACAACCTGCCCGACTGACCAACTTGTAAGTTGAACATAATGGCTGTAGGCAACTCCTTCAGGACACTTCGTTTTTGAAGCGAAGCACCAGGCACTGTTTGCAGCGCATCTCTTGCAGAATGCTGCCTCCGACATCCAACAAATGAAGAGCATCCACACCCATTGGTCAAAAATGCAGAAGGCAGTGCTGCATTTCGCACCAGAATGCCGTCCCCGAAGCAGTGGGGGTAGCTGCCGAGCCTGTTCCCAAGAATGCGTAGGCATTGAATGCAGTTCAACCTTGCGGGCAACGTGATGTTCCCTGCAACAGGAGGTGTTAGGCTGCGGCACGTTTGCTGGATCATGCTCGACACCTCGTGCTGAGTTCAAGCGGGCAGTCAAGCTGGCCAATGGTGTCTTGATATTGGGGAAAGCAGGTGAGTTGTTGCGCGGAGGTTTAGTCTTGCCGTATGGGCGGCATTTTGCGGACCGGCTCGCTTGATATGCAAGCAGGACGCCCCTTCCTACACGGCTTCCCGGCAAAGAGCAAGACTCCAAGAAGCATGTCGGGAAAGAAGAGCGTAAAATCAGGGACCCAGTGAAGACCTGCTGCCCGACGGCCAGCAGCAACAGCTTTTGTGCGGTTGCAACATAGCCATGTTTGTCTCAGCTGTAAGGCATATGGCCTCGTTGGCGAACTAATTTGAGAAGAATGACGTGTTCCGAGCCGTGTCGCAGAGGCGCGACTTGGCATGCCCAACTGCACGCAGAAGCTGGTCTAAAGCTGGAGGTTTACGGTTCAAAGCATCCGTCACCGGCAATCGGTGATGGTTTGATGGCTTGGTTGCATCATAGTGAAGACAACACAGCACGAGCTTGAAGAGTCAGGTCCCTCAGCAATTTACGCGACTGCACTGGCAACTTTTATCCGCGATGGCTGAAGTCACTCCCTTCAGGCACCCCTGATCGAAACCAAGCACCGGCACTGTTTGCTTTGCCACTGGCCCATGTCATAAGAAGAATAGTGCAATAAGCTCGAAAGCTGCCAGCTGCTGCGGGGAGGCAACTCTCCTTCCATAAATGAGAACAAATGCCGCAAATCTCTGCTTTTTCAGCCTGCTAGGCTGCGTAGGATCCGGACCATGATTGCAAGAGGGGTCTGTGGCTGCGCGTCGTTGGCAGTGCTGGTCTTATCACTACTGTGTTGATTGGCGAGGAAAGGGTTGACTACAGACATTGCTCGAGCAGAGATGGCCGCCACATGTACAGAAGAAAGGCCGTGCATTCAGTAGGAGATCCGTTTCAGGAAGTGGTGCAACGAGTTAAGAGCAGCTGATATCCAGCTTTCGTCGTGAAGTTCATGGACGTTTGCAACCTTGCGCCGGCCAGAGAGAGCAACGTCCCAAAGGGTGGATCGATACGGTTCGGTCGGGCTGCCTTCCATCAGCACTAGTGCAGGTCGGATGCCAACGTTGAGGCAGGAGGCGTCGATGGTCTTCTAACAGGTGGAAAGCTGATCGTATGTCGGTGTTCTTTGGCTCGTTTTGACTCGGCAACACGACAAGACATCAAGAAGCCCTACATTTGATCCCGAGCAACGGTGTCTCTAAAAAGAGACACGCCTGCAACAGCTGACATCCTGATTTGTACACAAGCACCTGGGGTTTTTTCCTTTCGGAGCAAGGCGGCTACATGGTGTTCCTTCAAGCAGAATTCGAAGAGCAGAACCATTCTGGACACCTCGTGTTTATGCTGGCAGTTAACCTGGCCGGCGGCATCCACCTCCTCTACGGGGGAACGCCTGCACTGCACGACGTTCTGTTTAGGCATTGCCACCATCGGAGCCGAATGCAAACCTGCCCGTATGATGATAGAACACTCTCTTGTGCACGCAGAGCCAGGCTCCAAGAAGAATGTCGGAACTCGGAACTTGGCGTTGAGGGCGCGATGCTGATCTGCTCGATGGCCTATAGCAGCGGTTCTTGTGGAGTTGCAAAAGAGTCATTTTTGTCTGATCTTTGAGGCATGTGGTCTTATTGGCGAGCTGACTTGAGGAGTGGCTCCCGTTGCGAGCCCAAGTAGGCATGCGACTCGACGCATCCAGCGGAATGCTGAGCTGACAAAGCTTGGCATTTCCGGTCGCAGGCTCGCACTCGACATGAAGGAGCTTGCACAGCAGTGTGGTGGCGCAGGGAATCATCATAAGACAGCGCGAGCTTGAAGATACAGCTCCCCCGGCAATTTTTGCTTCCAATGCCCTTGCAACGTGAACCGCGATGGCTGAAGTGAGTGCCTTCAAACACCCCGTGATTGAAGCCAAGCACCGACGCTGTTTGCCTTGCCATTGGCCCATTTCACGAAAGCGACTTGCTGCTGTGGTGACCCACATAAACACAAGGGCAATTGCCGCAAATGCCGCAAACCTCGGCACCTCGGACACACGCGAGGCACGCATTTCAAATCCTGCTAGCCTGCGTAGACTGGTAGAATCCGGACCATGATTGCAAGAGAGGTCTGTGGCTGCACGTCGTTGGCAGCTGGGACTCCTGTGTTAATTGGTAGGAAGATGGTTGACTGCAGGCGTTGTTCGAGCAGGGTTGGCCGCCACATGTACAGAAGAAAGGTCGATGACTTAGTACGAGATCCGCCTCAGGGCATAGTACAACCAGCAGTGCAACGAGCGAGCAGCAGCTGCACTGGCCAGAGAGAGCGATATCCCAAGCCCTGTGACAGGCTGTGTACACGACTCGCGTGAGGTGCTTGTTCTCCAATCGTCCAGAGCGGGGATTGGTACGGCTCGGTCTGCGGATCGTCGCAGAGCCTGTTGGCGTTGGCTGCTTTTCATGGCTGTGGGCGCAGGTCGGATGCCAATGTTGAGGCAGGAGGTGTCTCTGGTCTTCTAGTGGGTGGAAAGCTGGTTGCATGTCGACGTTCTTCGATCCCATGTTTTTCTCAATACCTGCTTTCACCAGTTCTCCAGCAGCGCAGCGAAAGGCAGTACTTGGAGGCATCGAGTTAGCCTCTTTTCCGATTGGGTGTGGAATCCATGGCCATGAACGAGCTCATGTGTGACAATATTGCACAGAAGCAGTAAATTTCTCAGGTCATGAGAAGTCCACAACTTGACAACTTGGAAGCATGAGGTCGCGGCAGCAGCGAGACCGTGCGTACACCATCAGATTCAGCAACAATGTGCTCTGATCAAAGCAGCAGCTGCTGCTGCAGAGTTCATCTTGAATAGGGAAGTGCAGGAGCCTTGTAGCGTCATGCTTGACACCGCGTGCTTAACCTGTTCGTAAAGATGGCCTGTGGCTGTACGCCCTGCCATTCTTGAGGAAAGTCAGAGCAGGCACATTGGCACTGTCTACTGTGAGCGGCTTCCATCGAGTGTGCTGCAACTTTGGGTCGGCAGGCTTGCTCCTTTAAGGGCGCCAAGCTGCCAAATCTCGTTTATCCAGGCACGGCTTCGCTTGGGATCTGCTTCAAAGACGGTGGGGGATGTCGTTCACTCCCGCTTCCGAGGGGCAAGACAGGGCATTCCCATGAGCTATCGCCGCCGGAAGTGTTTCGATGTTAGAATGAAGATTTAGCGGTTTGAGGCTAAGCAGCGTGAGACATGTCCCAGCAAACAGCTGGCACACGGCAACTTGAAGCACTCTGTGGTCTAATGCCGCGTGCTTAACCTCACAAACTCTGAACTGTAAGAAGTGGCACATCCGTGTAGTTTGCTTTCTACAGGCCTGAGATCCGTAAGGAAGCAAAGGGTGTTGCACCTCTGTGTGGCACCGACGCGTGCGCATTTCTAACTCACGAAGGGTTCTGAGAAGATTCTGCTGCTCTTGCAGCTGGCACGTGCTACTGACGCTATGTTCTGCCCTAAACCCTAAACCCCTAAACCCCTAAACCCTAAACCCTAAGTTCTACATGATGTCGGCACCTTTGGACAGGCGGTCGTAGTAGGAGCCAGCAGCTGGGAACCCTTGCCGCCAGATGTAAACAGCAGATCTTCACTCCGTCGTCCAATAGTAAAGAAACCATAATATTATCTACTATAGGTTCCCATTATGGTAACTTAGGCACATGCATGGTGAAGCGACGCTGACCTGCTTTCACGAACCTGTGTCGGAACTAGGCGAGGATTGGCCACTGAAGGATTCCATGAAGCAGGAGCTTCCAAGATTGTTTTCTGCGGTTGCAGAGCCATTCGCCACCCGAAAATGACACCGATGTTCTACCGTGGATTGGAGAAGGGCCAGAGCTTGCTCAAGCTGTTGCTGCATGTCGCGGTTGCGTCGTTTCGCTTGCGAGGGCTGTGGAATATGAGTGAGCCGCGCAAGCTACTGTGATCTTCAGCGCCACACTGCTGAAGCTCCCTGTCCACTGCAACTCCTCGTGTGCAGCAGTGCCGCTTGGCTGCTGTACCCCAGCTTTGGAGACAGATGCGTCCTAACCCTTATAAACCCCAAACCTGCTTGGGGTAAGCCGGTTTCGCGCTACACGGCTAAAGCCGTGACCTCACATGCCACCCAAAACCCTAAACCCCCAAAACCTTAAACCCTAAAGAACCCGGCTGGCCCACACTACACAAGGCGTCGGTAAGCCAGGGCACGAGGAAGCAGATGTTCGCCTTAAGCATCCTCGACTTTCTGGAACCCAAAAATTCAACGAAGCCCTAGCATATTTATGGGTTTCATGGGGCTTTGTGTTGAAGTTTAGGGCTTACTCCTTGCAGGTTGCAGGCACGAAGATCCTCTGAGGGCGGCTGGGGTCCACGTTCGGCCTTGAATTAAAGAAGTCGTCTCCATTTCTGACATCCATTCTTGATCATCTGAGACGCGCTTCAGGGATCTGGGCAGTAAAACTTGCCTTGCTGCGTCATGCACAGATTCTGGAAGCACTGGATTTCGGACGAGGATCTGACATGGGCTTGCGTCTGCATGTCCTGAGGCCGAGGTTGAGACATCGGGATCTAACTTGGGCAGTTCCTAGGAAAACCTCAGGGCTGAGGGTTTAGATGCGTCAGGGGGTTAGGGTCCTAAAGTCCTCCTGCCTTCCTTGCCGCCCCTTGGTTGTTGTAGCTTGCCGTTTTGATCGCATGAAGTAAGACCTGCCACTATTTCCAGCTGCGGACCAAGTTCAGGCATCGCACTTCCAAGCCTACTAACTGCGGGCCCTTGACGTCCACCAGCCAAGCTTGAAGGCCAGGTCCAAGATCGCGTCGCTGTTCGCAGCAGCGCTCCTGAAAGCTGCGAGTGCCGCAACCACGGTCTTGGCTGAAGTTCTCGTCTTCAGCCAGCTGTCACCCTGGATCCTCGGCCCTAAATCTGCAAAGCCGAAGCCACCAAAATCACAGAAGTCTTTCAAACTTAGGCCCTTTAAGCCTTAAATCCTCAATCTTAAACTTTTCCGCCAACGCAGCGGCCCTCACAGGAGGATCTGCTCGGCTTCTATCAAGTGAACGAGTATGGCCTTGATGGAAGCCGTCGTCTGCAACAGAACCGGCTACTGGTTTAAAGGTTTACGGTTTAGGGTGCCGAGGTTTGGAGAAGGTTAGTGATTTACAGTTCAGGGATTTCTCAGGCACCATACAAACTCGCACGGGACGCTCGCCTCAGAAGCTAGGCTGGATTTCTCGAATCTGTGCGATCCTAGTCGGCGCCCACACCGTGCAGCGTCGTTTGCGCTTGCCTTGCCAGGCTCGCGTCACGGTCGAGACGTATTGCCAAAGGGAACCGGCCCGAGTACTTGGTGGGGCTTTGCATGGCCCTGCACATATTTGGCTGTTGATTTGCCTAATTCTTAAGTTGGAATTCTCAGGTACCTCACCGGAGTTGTCTTCACGGTGCTTGCAGAGGTATCCTCCATTGGCAGTTTCAGCTGTGTGGCTCTCTGCACAGATACCGCACGAATCTCATCTCCAGACACCGCACGGCTTGGACCTAACCGTCTCCCAACTTCGTGAGCAAGCAGCGCCATTCCCGGCGTGCATCCTGGAGATACTCGCGATAACAGTATTGGGATGCAAGCACCGGCACCTTCAAAAATTCCTGATAGAGTCGAGTTGACATGCTGAGGCAGCTCGAATCTGGGAGGGGTGCTTGGATTTTGTCTTTCGCTAGGCGCGACCCATCTGTAACGGCGTTTCGCCCATGTGAAGAGCAGGACCGGCGCACGTCCCTTGCCTTCCGCGGTGATTAGTTTGCGGCTGCACCCGAAAATAAGATGATGCGAAGGCATGTATATCGCAGTAGAGAGCGGAAATGCAAAGTGCATATCTTGCCACATGGTGGCAGGTGCCCATGTTTTCTCAGCTCTCATGTGATGCAATAACGCCCAGACTCCTGGCACTGAATCACCAATGGCTTAGCGCCGAGTCGACTTGAGGAAGTCGTCGTCTCTCATGCTGTTATGTTCTGGTGTCAAGCGCCTGGATGCATCTGGCATCTGCAGTCCTAGCCTATTGACCGAAGCCATGGTCTGGGAAGGTCAATGCTCGGATGCCCCATAACGAACGCATTGGCCTGGCTGAGTTTTAAAGTACGGGTTTGTGCTCGAAAGCACCGGAAGCCTTGCCTGTGGTGATTGCACATGATCTCCACTTTGTTCTGCAGCCTTGGTTGGGAATCGTCTTCAGGACGAAAGCAACCACGGACCACGGCACATGCAGTGCTGCCATTAACTGTTGCAAACTCTCCATCGACCGACACTCCAGTGCAGCAACTTCTGAAAAGATCGTCGGCAGAGGCGAAGAAATGTCGTACAGAGCCTACGATCTCACAGCGATAATCGCGACATTCTACGCAGTGATGGTGCGTTTGCAAAAGTCCGTGCAAGTGACCTTCTGATGTACTGTAGGCTCGTCGGTCTTGGATGCGTGTTAGATGCCGGACTCTTGAGGGAATATGGGGCGGGGCATGTGGTACATGTCATAGAGTGAGAAGAGACAGGTGTGGCTGAAATAGCCCCTCGGCACACCTACATGACTTGTTTGCTGCAGCTGGATCACTACTGGCTCGAGCACT